GATAGTTGTCTAGCATTCAGTTGTGGTTTCATTGTAGTCGTGAGGAGAGGCGAGTTCATGGTCCTACCACTCTGCCATCTTGACTGGAAAAAAAAAATTATCCTCATTTTTTAATAAGAAACGAGAGACTTACAGCATAGTCTTCCCAGTAGTCACCCCCATCACCCACCCCAATCATGTGCTCAGGCTACCTTCTTAAATTGGTGGTCTGTGTAAAGTAGAGTATACTCAAGGCCATTTGCCCCAGTAACTGTGACCCTAGAAGGAGACTCGTGCTGGAAAGGCCAAGGCAAGAATATTCTTATGAGAGGCAGAAGAAGCCAAAGTCAGAGACAGCTGGGTTAAAGCATTTACAGGATGGGAGGTAGTGCACATAAAACCTAGATGTGTTTGGATTTATGCCTGAGCAAGGTAGTAGCCAGAGATGTGTGTGGCTGTGCAAATATTTGAAAGGAGAGGCCAGCTCTGTGGTTTGGGCAAGCATGTGAAGGGACACCTCAGTGCTTACTCTGAAATGTGACGAGTGACCAGGATGGGTCACAGGCATCAGCCAAGGCTGGGGGTGGAGGCTCCAGGATTTGACTCCCTGTGACTATGTACTGTTCATCCCAGCTCGCAGGCTGGGTTCCTCTTCCTGCTGCCTGAATGAGGGTCCAGCCAGACTTCCTTAGCATTGCATGGTGTTCCAGTGTCTATTGCTGCTTATTTCGCAAACCATCCCAAAATTTAGTGGCATAAGACAACATCCAGTTTATCAAGTTTGCAATTCTGGAGTCAGGAATCTGGGGCCTTCACTGGGTGGCTCAGAGGGCTGCAAGTGTTGGGACGGTTTGACTGGGGCCATCTGCCTTGGGTCCTCTATGTGGCGTCTGGGGAGCTTGAATGTCCAGTATCACTTTCACTTCGTGTCTGGAGCCTGGGCTGGGCTCAACTGTTGTTCTCTCCAGGCAGCCTCTCCCCTAGGCCAGCCTGGACATCCTCACAGCATTGTGAACTCAGGGAGGTGAGACTTCTGACACAGGGCTGGTTTCCCTCAGGGTGTTCCACAAGGCCCAGTGGAAGCCACCAGACCCCTCGAGATCTAATCTCAGAAGTCCCAGCATGTCACTTCTGCACATGCTGCTAGCTGGGAAGGTCAGTATAGCCAGTCCAGATTCAAGGAGTTGGAGGAACAGACTCGCCCTCCCAACAGAGGAATGTTACGGCATGAGGGAAGGGGAAGAGTGAGTGATGGCTGCTGTCTTGGAGACAAGCTACCACACACGGAAGGGTAAGAACATAGGCTCTTGAGTCACATTGTTTCATATCACTGCTCTGTAATTTTCCAGCTGTGTGATGTCAGGCAAGTTACTTAACCTCTCTGAGCCTCAATTTCCTCATCTATAAAATGAGAACAGTGGTATTCTACTGCAGATGATTGTGGTAAGACTTAAACGAGATAAATCTAGTGCTTGTTACAATGCCTAATACATGTGAAGTCCTCACTTTACAGTAGCCATACTACCTGCAGTAATGTCTAGGAGTGTTGTTACTCCAGCTTGTCTTCAGGTACTCATTCAGCAAACAAGCGTCTACTGCGTGCCTGCAGGGTGCCAGGCACAGCCTCTGGCCTCCTCACGGTTGCGAGGAGGATGGTATGTTGTAAGTGGAGATACCTGGGCTTCATGGTTTTGAGCAGTGTCCCTAGTGCTCTTCAGTGCCAGGGGGCATCACTGGAGCCAGCAAGCCTGGTTCAAAGGATCAAGCCAGGGCTTGTCACCCAAGCCTCTCTGATCAGACTGCAGTATCATTTTTAGCCCTGTCCTACAGAGTCTCCTGCTTTCTTCCCACCAGTAACTCTTCTCCCGTTTTAAATAGTGGGGATGTTACCAAGGAGAGGCAGGAGAAATGAATCTTCCTCCCTTTCAAATGTGTGTCCTCGGGTCCCATTTGATGAGCATCTATTCCCCGCAGGAGCCCCGGTACTTCAGTAACACAGGACTCTGCGTGCAGAGCCCCATCAACAACCAGCTGCTCCTCGTGGGCCCTCACTGGCGTCCAGAATCGAAACCTCAAACACCAAGGTGACAGAAAGTATAGGAAAGGTAATAATGTCCAACTCTTTACAGATCATAAAAGAATTCTGAAAATGCAGCATTCTAAAATAAAACGAAAAGCAAGACGTCATGGATAATGCAAGCCAAACCAGGAGAGGCCGCTTGGCAGGAAACCTCACAGTCTGGTCTGATCTGTCTTATCTCAGCAGTTTCCTACCACCAGGAACTTCTTAAAAATGAAAGGGCAGAGCTTCTAACCCAGAACTTTTCAAAAACCTTTATGCTTCCCACAATAGTCATGTGAAAAATCTCACCTGCTCAAATGAGCATCTTTGGCTTTCTTTGAAGACGTGGAGCTTTAAGTAAATCTCACTTTCAGGAACTTGTTTTTAGGTTAATGATAAAGGAATTCACACTCATTAAGCACTCCATTCCAGCATCAAAAAGCCGCATGTTACAGAATCACTGCAGCTGCCACCTTTCCCTTAGTCCAGTCGCCTACCCAGGGCACGAATATCTGCTACGTGTCCCTGACAGATGGACATCCACCAGTGAAGCACAGCAACCGTGAAGAAGATAAGAGCCAGGACTTTGTGGGGACAGCCGAAGCCCAGAGCCCCAGGCCACCTTTCCAGGGGACCCATCCACACTAGGGGGCAACCCCGGCCGTGATGGGAGTGCCGAGTGTAGGCAGTGAGGACTCCGCCCTCATGGTGCAGCGACGGCAGGGCTGTCTGCCAGCCTACCTCCACTGTCACTTGTTGGTGCACGACTAATTTCCTGGTCTGACTCATCCCTGGAGGCAAACACAGCCCCAAGTTCATTGCGGGAAGTGCTTGGCTGGCTGTGCGAGCTTCAGTGTCTTTCAGGGAGCACACATCTGCCTTGTGGGCCATCGCTTCTTATCAAGTTACTCAAAGGAGAAGACAGCTCTGTCAAACCAGCTCTCACACTCAGTTTTCCTTTCTCGGGTCTAAGACTGTGATAATTGCTCTGAAATTAGTCCAGAAACCCCTGGGCCTCTTCCACACACCTCTGAAGACCATCCTGCATCTTCATCAAGCGGAAACAGTCCCCCCGAATCGTAGGACTCAAGCTATTTCATATGCCTGATTGGGGAGGAAGGGGCAGGGACGTAGAAGGTACAGATGCAAAACCAGCATAAGCAGAATGCTACCTCTGTGGTTTTGAAACACCACGCACAGGCCTTCTAGGGACTTTCATCAGAATGAAAACCTGGGACAGACCATTTTAGCCCTCAGCTGGTGCAGTGATTTTAAGAAAGCTGTGACCCACAGGCATCCACTTCTTTGCACTGTGACCTTAGGGGTTTTATTGAGACCCTGCTTCTTTGGGGTCAATGTCCTGTTTTCTCAGTGAGAAGACAAGATGGGGCTGTGCTCAGAAGAGAAGACTGAAATGAAGTGCAAATCTGGAGAAGAGAGAAGAAAGCTAGTCGTCTTGGGAGTGGTTGATGGTCTGAGGAAAATAACCTTTCTCCCAAGCACTGCTTGGCATGGCATTCTGGCCTGACAGAACCTCCTGTCTCTCGCTGATTTGATGATAAAATATGGAGTGGACCCACAGGGAGAGCAAATGCCTCAAGAAATAGAGGGATAATTGGCTCTGTTTGCATGCTCGCTGCTGTGACTATGAGATGCCACACCAGCATGACTAATGCCTCTCTCCTCTGCCTAAATTAGATTTTGATTGTGTTTCAGAGATGTTCACCGAATCACAGATGTTTGAGGTAAAAAGACCCAACTTCTCAGGAACACCTCCCGTGGAGTGTGTGGGATCATCCTCACAGGCACAGCTGACGCACTCCCAGAACTCGGCTGAGGGACCAGAGTAACCCCTTCCTTCCAAGGCCCAGGAGCAAACTGGCCGCCCGTGATGGGGCCCGGGATGGAGTGGGCTTCAGGGTCCCCTGTGGGCTCCTTGGCGTGGGGTAAGCGAGTGCATCACATCAGTGAATGATGCCTGGGACACACCTTAAATTGGACCTGAAGTGTCCCGTTCATCAGGTTTCTCCTGACTCACTGCCACATCAGGTGGAGCAGTTCAAGGTCCCCGCTGGTTCACCCCCTGCAGCGTTCCTCAGCCACTCTGTTCCAATCTGCAGGATGCCATCGTAAACTGATTCTCATTTCTCTTGCAGAATTTAGCCTATGAGATCATCCTAACGCTGGGACAGGCATTTGAAGTCGCTTACCAGCTCGCGCTGCAAGCCAGGAAAGGGGGGCATTCCTCCACCCTCCCAGAAAGCTTTGAAAACAAGCCTTCCAAGCCCATCCCCAAGCCCCGAGTCAGCATTCGCAAGTCCGTGGTAAGTAGAAAAGACGCAGGTGTTCTGAAAACTTTTGAGCTGAAGGGAAGGGACCCTTGGCCTGAGTCCTCATGAGAATCCAGGGCCTGTTCATCTTGTCTTTGCCCTGCCTCGTCCTGGCATGTGTCCTTCATCCTCTCAGCCCAGTTCCTGCAAAGTCTTGGGGGCCGTCTGCCTGGAACCTACAGGCTCCTGAGAAAACTCCCCTTCCTCTGTCCCCTGCAGCAGCCTCTGAGGGGACTGGGTGCTGCTGCTGTCCTGGGTGAACCTTTCCTGAAAGTCCAGGCAAGCTTGGGAGCGATGTTCCCTGAGGCTTTGGCTGCCATCCCTCCAGGGGGCATGCCTCTCACAAGCTGCTGGTCAGTAGAGCCTGGCAGAGGCTCACAGCAAGGGTGTCCCCGGTACCCACCAAGAGGAAACTAGAGATGCAGGCTGTGCGTGGGTCCAAAGGGGAGGCCTAGGCACCAGGCCCCATGCTTTCTCTGGCAGCTGAGGTTTCCTGCAGGCGAGGACTATTCAGAAGGTACGGCCCCTCCTCCACGGCATCTGTCTTCCTCCAGGAATTTCCTCCCTCTCCCTCCCACACGCTCTGCACACATCCTGTCCTAACAGACTTTTCATGACTTCAAAGCGGCCTCCTCTGATAGTAGCAATACCCAGAAGCTGGAACGTTCCCAACCAGCCTCCTATCTGGTTTCTGCTGCCGTATGGCATCCTAGAAGCTCTGGGCCTCCGGATAGCAGACACCCCCAGAGGCATCGCTCTCCCCTCCACCTGTCCTTCTATCTGTGATTCTCTCCTCCTCCCCACTGGCCCCTGTCCCCAGGGTCATGGGGCAGGTGTAAGGTTCTTCATCTCTGCAGGGGTACCGCCCTTTGTGACCATGTGGCTTCTTATTCACAGTCTTCTCTTTGGCCTCTGTTCTTGCCCTGTACTTGGCAACTTCAGCATCCCTGGGAATGGTCCTTCCCAGCTCACCTCCTTGATCTTTTTCTCTGCCTCTCTGTTCACTCTTGTGCTCATCCCTCATTGCTGATCATCACCAGTAACAGCATGTCCTCTGAAAGTTGTTCCTTTTGACCCCTGGTCCTCCCAGCCCCACTGGCTCCCAATCCTGACACACTCTCAGAACTCCAGACTAACAGCTTCAGTTTCTTCTTCAGTACTTAATAGACATCTGAAACTTAATTTTGATCTCCCTTCTGAAACTGTTTCTGTCCACCCCTCACAGCTCAGTAAGCCGAATAACCACTCACCATGTTGCTCAAGCCATAAATCTAGAAGCATTCCTGATGCCTGTCCTCCCCTCACCCCTGTATCCAACCCACAAGCAGATTCCATCCGTTCAGTCCCTAAAAGCTCTTTCAGATCCATGCACTCCTCTCCATTTCCTCTGTCACTCTGCTCATCCAAGCTGCCACCACCACTAATCTCCAGAACTACCTCAGTATACCTGACAGACTCGCTCCCTCCACATGGCAACCAGGGCGACCGTCTTAAAACACAGATCAGATCATGACACCACTGCCCCAATTCCCCACCACACTCCTCTGACTTTTCTCTGATCCCCACAGACTTCTCCCAAACGAGCACAGAGGGCTGGTGCCATGAGGGCTTATAGAATACTTGCCTAGAAGCTGTCACTGAGAAATATCAGTGAATAACCGCCTAAGATCCTGTCCCCCTCAGTGGGTATCCACATTCCATTTCTATTGACCCCAGATGTTTACTGTTGAGAAATATGCTGTGATTCCTAAGACTATGTTAAGTCCTCCCCCAAGTCTTGTGGAAACGTAAACAAATCACGCTGGGACGGACCCTACAGCATTCCTGCAGCTCTCTTGCTACAGGTTTCTTGAGCAGAGCAGGCACTAGGGTCAGGCATGTGTGGAGACACCAAAGGAAAAAAGGCAGCAATTCGGTGAGGAACTTCCCCAGCCCCTCCCTCCATGAGAGCTCAGATCTCAAGCCTCACCCAGAAAGGGCCTGTGTGACCTTGTGTGCACAGGGGCTGAGCCAGTGTTAACATTGCATGGCTCAGCTCGGTTTGGGTAAGGCTCAGCCTGACGTGGCCCTGCTCACCTCTTCATCCTCAGTTGTCTCCCCTCCCAGCTGCCCCTCTGCAAACTGGCTGTAAGTCCTCAAACGGCCACTTTCCCTTACCTCAGGGACTTTGCACATGCTGTTCAATCAACCCCTGCCCACAAGCTTCACCAGGAAACTCTTGCTTGTCCTCCAGCTCTCCATTTAGACATTACCTCATTTTTAATAATGTCTATTCAACAAGTATTTATTGTGTGGCTGCTGTTTACTGGGTTGCCAGGAGCTCTTTTCTAAGTTTAGGGTTAACAGTGAACAGAACAGACAGAATCCTACTTTCTTGAGCATCCACTGTAGTGGAGGATGAACAAGTAAATGTGATGTATGTGGCATAAGGATTACAAAGGATAGATCAGAAGAGAACAGAAAAGTTAAGATGCTATTTGATAGGATAAACTGGTGAGGAGGTGATGTTTGATCTGCATCCTGATTGATATTAGGGCATAAAGCATGAGGGTGTCTGGAAAAGAGCATTCGGGCAGAAAGGTGATGGGCACAGAGGCCCTGGGCGTGGGCCTGGCATTCAGGGCCACCGCAGGTCACCTTGAGGACTGACTACTGTGGTCTTATTCTGACTGTGATAGAAACCAGTGGAGGCTGGAGAGCCAGGCAGGGCATAACCTGGTTCACCTCCTCCAGGAAGCCCCCCCGGCTCCTGACGTGGGGTCAGTGGCCTTCTTGGGTGCCCTCAAAGCATCCCCTCTTCCCTTTGAAATCGCAGTTCTCAGTACTTTAGTGTTTCTATGTCTGCTCCCCATCTGTGTGCTTTCAAGAGCAAGGGCCGTGTCTCATTCACCGTCTGCACCACCCAGTGCCTCGCACACATACACAGTAAATGTGTCAGATGAACAAATGCTTCTCACACATCAGCATCCCGAAGGCCTGCCAGGGTGAGTGTGGGTTTCCAACCAGTGTTAGGATGCACGTGGGCAGCCCCGAGCAGGTACCGTATAACAGGCATCAGCCTTTCTGTTTTAAAGCAGATCGACCCATCTGAGCAAAAGACTCTGGCCAACCTGCCGTGGATTGTGGAGCCGGGACAAGAGGCCAAAAGGGGAATAAATACCAAGTATGAAACCACAATTTTCTGATACTCACCGTCCTCCCGTCCTTGCGGTGCCTTGCACGCCGAGCAGTCCCAGAGCAGGCTTCCTGTCCAGCCCAGGAGGAAGACTGCTCTGTTTGTGTGGCCTTGTCACGGGCAAAAGGCTGCTGTCCATTCCTGGGGACATTCTTTCTGCACCAGTGACAGAAAGTGCAACTAAGACTTTTCAGTCATAACCCCCGAGAAGCACGAGCAGAGATTCTTGGCTGACTCTCCGGACTTCCCCCTGCCACCACCCAAGGTATTTCTAATGACTCTGCCCCAACACTTGCTTTGCTGTATTTGGGGATATATACCTTTAAAAAAGTACAGGGGATCTCTAATACTGCCTAAAAGTATAAAAATCTTGGGTTTATTTTTCACCGTCATCAGTTTTCAAGGTAGAATCAGAACTAACCCCAGAAAACATCTGTAAAATCATTATCTCACTGAGTATTGTTTCCTGCAAAAGGACAAAAACTACCCACCCTGATTGCCAGGAAATCCTGTTTCTCAATTTCTATATTTGTGCATTTTATATGTAATCAGCTATGTCAGATAAAGAAAACCTTTACATCTATGGTTGATTCAAAAACTTAAGAATGATTTAAAACAGAGGAATTTATTATGAACAGAAGAAATGTGTCTTGTATTAAATATTTTTCTTAAAAGAATGTTTCACTAATGCATTGATAAGAAACTAGGTTAGTTGTGAGGGATGTTTCTGGTTTTGTTTTGAATAACTAAATTTCTACTGCTACTACCAAGAGGACTGGCTCAGGCGTGGCAAGTACGATGACACTCACCAGAGCAGGAGATTCAGGCACGCAGGCTGGCGTCTTCCCCAAAGTGCTGACGCAGTCATCAGCCTGCAAGGATTTTTTTTCAATCTTCACAGTTTTAAAGAACATGTTAAAACAAAAAAAAACTAGGGCTCCTGCTGTCATGGAAACCTTGTTTGAGAAAGGTGTTAATAAAATTCTATTGCAAAAAAATTTTTTTCTAGAAAAAAAAAATTAAAAAAAAAAAGATTCCAAAGTAATAAAGCTCTTTTCTTGAAACAAAAAAATAAACATGTTTGCTTACTCTTTGATTAAATAAAATTTACTTACATTTCTTTAAGGTATTTTAATTTTTTAATGTCTCTGTGGAGTATTTGTATGATACCATAATGTATATTTATGTAGAATCAAATTATATAAAAACAGTACCAATATCATTATAGAGAAAAATAACATTTTAATGTATATTGTTCTAACCATATTGTGAATCATTTTGAAGTTCATTATAGCACTATTGAGAAATTGTGGGATTGTCTTAATGTTTTTTTTTATTAACCAATATTATTTTAAGCCTGACTGAGATTATCAGTTACATTCATCAGTTGGTGAGTTTTGAAGGACTAAATTTTATTTCAAATTGACAAATGTATATGGTTTTAGTTTAGTGTTAAAGAATTTTAATACAATATTAAATTACTTGAACTGAACAGTTCCTTGTATATACTTTGCCTATTCACTGTTGATATGTATGTAGTAAATTGAGAGTAAAATAACACTAAAATATGGTACCAAAAGGAAATTGTATAGGAGCAAAGTAAATAGTATCTTTGCTGAGACAGAAACATATGTGTAAATATGCTTGGGCTTCCAGTTATAAATTTTGTAATTTTTGTCATTATTTATATCCTATAAAAAGCACACAAAATAAAACGGAAACTACAGCTGTGGGTGCTTGGCATCATTCTGTGAGCACTTTCCCACTTCCATGTAGGATCAGAACCAAAGACCAGCCTTCAGAGCATCCAGAGCTAAAAGGGATTTTTTAATAAGCAAAAAAGTTGAGAAAATTAGCTCATTTACAAATTCAATCTGCCTGGAAAAGATACACTGGCCTTTCAAAGCTTTACTTTTAATTGAAGCTTTAATACCTTTAAAGCTTAAATTTCATCCATAGAGCCCCCATTGTTTGTGCTTAAATCTTACAGCGGGCTGTAATGAAGAACTGCCCAAACAAATTTCTAAAAGAGGAAGGGCCACCAAACTGGATTACTTTTATAGGACAACATCTACACCTTTGTCTTATGCTGCCTAACAGTACCATAGACTGGGTGGCTTAAACAAATTTATTATTTCTTGTGGTTCTGGACGTCTGGGAAATCCAAGATCAAGGTGCTAGCAAGGTAGGTCTCATTCTAAGGCCTTTTTCTCTTGGCTTGGCTTGTAGGTGGCTGTCAACCTTCTCTGTGCTCACAGGACCTCTGTGTGTGTGGGGAGAGGGTGAGGGAGCTCTGGTGTCCCTTCTTAGAAAAGCACTAATCCCATCATGAGGGCCCCAGCCCCCCATGACCCTGTCTAACTCTATCTCCCAAAGGCCCATCTCCATACCATCACCTTAGGACATCAACATGGATTTTGGGGGGATATAAACTTTCAATAACAGCATTCATTAATCCTTTCATTCTTCCTAAAATGCATGTGCCAGCTGTGAGCTGAGTGATAACAGGGCCATATTAAAGACACACTGGAAAAACATCAGAGATGCACATTCCATACCCTGTGACTTTCAGAAGATCACCCCTCCGCTGGATCCAGGTGTGTTTGCTACTCTCCAAAACACATGCTGAAGTAATCTCGGGGCACTCCCAGCCTGACACGCAGAGGCCTAGGGCTTTGAACTCCAAAGGGCTGAAACCATCCTGAAATGCATAAGTGCAAGTTCCCTGAAGGAAGGGTTGGGCTGGGATTTTAGACAGTAATGCTTCACCTGGGCTGATTTGGCCCCTTTTAATCTTGGCTAACCACCAACAGGTCAGCAATCCTCTTATTTATTATCTCTATGGATCAAATGCTTATATCAGTTACAGTCCCAGCATGAGGCAAATGGCATACTCCAATTGAGGTAGTTTTAAGAGTTAAATAAATGAAATACTTACATAGGTCTTAGCATCATGTAGGGAAACAGAGGACTGAAACACCATGCCTGGGCTAGTATGGACTTAGGGGGAGTGAGAAAGGAGGAGGCTTATGGAGGGGGCTGCCAGACCTCAGATGCCAAGGGCCTCAGCAAGGGAGCCGAGTATTAAAACCCCCTGATCTCCAGGGGAAGCGGCCAAGATGGTGGAGCACAAAGACCGCAAGCTCACTTCCTCACGAGCACATCAAAATCACAACTGTCTATCTACAGAACCACCATCGATGAAAAAGACTGGAACCTACCAGAAAAGATCTTCTACAATTAAAGACATAAAGAAGGAAACACAAGACAGGCAGGAGGCAGACTCATGATAAAATCTAATCCCATACCCTCCAGGTAGACAACCCACCAGCTGGAGAATAATTATATCACAGAGCTGCTCCCACAGGAGTGAGAGTTCTGAGCCCCATGTCAGGCTCCCCGGGCCGGGGCTCTGGCACTGGTAAGATGAACCCCCAGAGCATCTGGCTTCAAAGGCCAGTGGGGCTTAACTGCAGGAGTCCCACAGGACTGGAGGAAAGAGAGACTTCACTCTTTAAAGGGTGCACACAAAACCTCATGCATACCAGGACCCAGGGCAAGAGCAGCGCTTTGATAAGACGCCTGGCCCAGACCTACCTGCTAGTCTCGGAGTCTCCTGGAGGGGGTGGGGGTGGCTGAGCTCACCCTGGGGACACAGACAGTGGTGGCAAACATATTACGGAACATTCAAACACAGGAAACTGAGCTGAGAGCTAACATCTTGGCTAGTTAGCACCAAGACCTGACCCCACCCAACAGCCTGTAGGTGCCAGTGTTGGGATGCCTCAGGCCAAACAACCAAATGGGAGAGAACACAGCCCCACCCATCAGCTGACAGGCCGTGAGAAGCCTTCCTGAGCCCATAGAGGCCTCTAGACATGCCTCTAGCTGTGTTCCTGCCCACTAGATAGCCAAGACCCTGCTCCACCCAGCGGTGGACAGGCACAGCCCCTCCAGTCAGGAAGCCTGCACAAGCCTCTAGACCAACCTCCCTTACTAGATGAGACACCAAAAGCAAGAAAACGATGTTCCCACAGCCTGCAGAAGGATTTGGCCCCTGGACTCCAGACCCTACCTTGAGACCAACTGAGCCCTGACCCTGCACACTAGTTGGCTAATGCAACCTTCAGGACACCCCAGGCCCCACACCCAACTGTCTCAGAAACTAGTTTCTGCCCCCACCCCAGCCCCGCCAACAATTTGAAATGATCTCTGGGATCTCTGGGCCCTTCAGCCAGACTCCAGGAACCAGCTCTGCCTCCCAACAGCCTAGGGCTAACCTCACAACCTGGCTTCCCCTGCCAACGGGCAGGCAAGAGCCCCACAACTTCAGGACCCTGACTCCGCCCACCAGTGAGCCAGCACTAAGGTTCCACGACCAGGCCCCACTAAACAGCAGCAAGTAGCACCCGTACATGGCTGGGGCTGGCAACTAACTGTATGACGGGCCAACCAAGCCTACCAGACCACCCACAAGTCAGTAATTTAAAAAGTTCCCAACAAACAAAAGTGTAGGACCACATGGCTTCACAGGAGAATTCTACAAGAGTTAACACCTACCCTTTTGAAACTTCCCAAAAATTGCAAAGGAAGGAACACTTTCGAACTCATTCTACGAAGCCACCATCACCCTGATAACAAAACCAGACAAAGACACCACACACACAAAAAAAATTATGTCAGTATCACTGATGAACACAGATGCAAAAATCCTAAACAAAATACTACCAAACTTACTCCAACAATACTAAAAGGATCATACACCACCATCAAGTGGGATTTATCCTGGGGATGGAAAGACTTTTCAGTGTCGCAAATCAATCAGTGTGATACACCACATTATCAAATTGAAGAATAAAGCCCACATAATCATCTCAATAATATGCAGAAAAAACTTTTGGTAAAATTCAACATTCATTTATGATAAAAAAAATTCTCCAGAAAGTAGACATGGGGGAACATACCTCAACATAATAAAGGCCACATATGACAAACCCACAGCTAACATCATACTCAACAGTGAAAAGCTGAAAGCATTCCCTCTAAGATCAGGAACAAGACAAGGATGCCCTCTCACTACTTTTAGTCAGAATAGTTTTGGAATTCCTCCCCACAGCAACCAGAGAAGAAAAAGAAATAAAAGGAACCCAAATTGGAAAGCAAGGAGTAAAACTCACTGTTTGCAGATGACACGATACTATAGATAGAAAATCCAAAAGATGTCACAAGAAAACTACTAGAGCTCATCAATGAAGTTGGTAAAGTTGCAGGATACAAAATTAATATACAGAAGTCTGCTGCATTTCTATTACGCTAACAACAAATGTCAGAAAGAGAAATTAAGGAAATGATCTTGTTTACCAGAGCATCAGAAAGAATGAAATACCAAGGAATAAACCTACCTAATGAGGCAAGAGACCTGTACTTCAAAAACTGTAAGATGCTGATGAAAGAAACTAAAAAACAACACAGATGGAAAGATACACTGTGTTCTTGGATTGGAAGAATCAATGTTATTTAAAAGACCATACTACCCAAGGCAATATACAGATTCTATGTAATCCTTATCAAATTACCAGTGGCACTTTTCACAGAACTAGAGCAAGTAATTTTAAAATTTGTATGGAAACACAAAAGGCCCTGAATGCCAAACAATCTTAGGAAAGAACAGAGCTAGAGGAATCATGCTCCCTGACTTCAGACTATAATACAAAGCTACAGGAATCAAAACTGTATGGTACTGGCACAAAAAAAAGACACATACATCAATGGAACACGACAGAAAACCCAGAAATAAAACCAAGCACTTATGGTCAATTAACTATCAACAAAGGAGGCAAGAATATACAATGGAAGAAAAGACAGTTCTGTAAGTGGTGCTGGGAAAACTGGGCAGCTACATGTAAAAAAGTGAACTTAGAACATTCTCTAACACCATATACAAAAATAAACTAAAAATAGATCAAAGACCTAAGTGTAAGACTGGATACTCAAACTCCTACAGGAAAACATAGGCAGAACACTCTTTAACATAAATCACAGCAATTTTTTTTTATATCCATCTCCTAGAGTAATGGAAATAAAAGCAAAAATATGCAAATAGGCACTATCGAAAGTTAAAAGCTTTTGCACAGCAAAGGAAAGCATAAATGTAAACAAAAAGACAACCTATGGAATGGGAGAAAATACTTACAGTGTGACCAACAAGGGATTAATTTCCAAAATATACAAAAACAGCTTATACAGAGCAATTAAAAAAAAAAACAAAAAACCCAATCAAGAAATGGGCAGAAGACTTAAATAGACATTTGTCCAAATAGACAGATGGCCAACAAGCACATGAAAAGATGCTCGATACTGCTAATTATTAGAGAAATTCAAATCAAAACTACAATGAGGTATAATCCCATACCAGTCAAAATGGCCATCATCAAAAAGTTACAAATAATAAACACCAGAGAAGATGTGGAGAAAAGGGAACCCTCCTGCATTGTTGGTGGGTATGTAAATTGGTGCAGCCACTATTGGGAACAGTACGGAGGTTCCTTAAAAAACTAAAAATAGGGTTACCATATAATCCAGCAATCTCACTCATGGTCATATATCCAAACAAGATGAAAACTCTAACTTGAAAAGATACATGCACCTCAATACCCTAATGTTCACAGCAGCACTATTTACAATAGCCAAGACATGAAAGCTGTCTTGTCCATCAACATATGAA